CACGCGACTAATAAGAGCACTGGCATAGGCCCTGCTGAGCATGCAGTTAGGTCTCAGGGCATGAACCCAGCCCAGGTTCGGCGAATAAGTATGGCACTAAGCAGAGCAACGGCTGAGCTATCCGCCGCCAGACAAATCTCCTCAGTTACTGGTGGTGGAAGTAGTGTCCTCAATCTTGCGCGTAGACTGACTATGGGTCCGATCCAATTCGGTGATTACGGTGATATGCGGGAATTGGAGTCGGGCAACGGATGGATCGCTGGCAGGTTTCCACACGGTGTGCGACGTGGTCTTGCGTGGAATGACACTGGCGCCTCAAGGTTTTATGCATCCAACTACGATTAATTTACTTCACTTCATTCACTTGTATTCACATGACTGGGCTTTCGATAATTAATGTTGTTTTGTACTTCGTAATGTCGTTTTCTTCACCTCCATTTCGTCCAAAATTAGGAGAAATACACTTTTATTTATTAAAATATACTAAACAAAAAAATTTTTGGCATTCTGTAAATCGATTTAAGTTATGTTTTCGCACTGTGTAAAATTTGCATTCGACTCTTCCATATCATTTGGCTTAAGGATCCTTGGACAGAGAGAAATTCCTAAATTAAGCAGACGTTGATAGATGGAATGCACAAAACCATGTTTCCTTTGTCCGATTTCTATTCAAAACACAAGTCTTTAGGAATTAAAAGAGCACCAAATGTAAAAATGAGGCAGCAGGTGGCGGTCAATTGCTCCTCATTTGACTTTCGTAAGAGCTGGTGACATGGAAAGATCCCCCATAAGAACAGCACATTTACTGACACTAACTACACTTTTTAAAATGCACTTTTACAATTTTCTGTATCTCCGTGGGAAATTTACAACAGCCACGCAACTCGGTGGATGCGTGTTTAGTTTAATTCAACCGCCCTCCTGTGCACTCCAGTTTCCGCCCTTAATTTTAACTGCTGTCAATTATGACAACACAAGACCACCCTGTAAAAATGCTCTTAATTTTGCGATTCAAAGGTGATGCTGCATGTAAAGTGGAGCACCGTTGACGCTTCCTTATTACCTCTTCCACCCAGTAATAGAGTAAATCAAAGAATTTTGGTCATTCTTTTGGTGCACCATGGCTTGGTTCCAGGCGCCTAATAAAGTAGACTTTTTACATGCATCTTTGTTCGATGTACCGTAATTTGCATTCTTCTTTTGGCGCCCCATTTCTCTGTTAAAAGAAGCAATACAATAGCAGAAGGTCATTTGTAAAATCTGAAGAATTTAAGTTGTTCTGTGCTCGGTACACCTTTTGTACAATATTTTATGACAAGCCCCGATTTAATACCCCCTTCCGTCGGAAATACAGTGTTTGCGTAAAGCTCCTTCCCTTCCGACTCTTTTGCAGGGTTATTTCCTTCACATTAATGGTTGCACAGCTAAGGGCTTAGAGGTCCGATTTTCTCCCCCAAAACAAATTGGAAGAAGGTATTTCTTCTCCCGACACCTGATTTGGTGAGACAAATCATCCCCGGAATTCTACTTTGTAAGAGGATTTAAAGTTGTTGCCCTCTGTCTAAGCAAATCAACAAGTGAGGGTTAATGTAAAAAAAAGTGCTCACTTTGGTGTCTCGCAAGTAGTAAAACGCTTTCCAGCTCCTCTACAAGTGCATTATAAAATAAATCTTCCTCCATCATCACGGAGTCTGTCTCCCCAGCGGGTGGGCATAGTGCTTTTTTTGCGATTACACAAGTTGAAACAGATGTCTACGACACTTTTATTCCGCCTAAATTTTATTAAATACCAGACATTAAGGCACCAAATCTTGGTGTACTTTGAAAAGGTCACATTTTTTAGATTTTTCAAAGTAAAGAATTCACAATAATACGTACTGTGTAGGGAATTTAAACTTTTTGATTAAAAGGCCTGCAAAAATAGGGAGTGTTAACTGTTTGTTTAGACTTAAAACAGTTAGTAAATTTTTGGCAAATTTTTACAGCCAATCAGCTAAAAATTTGATACATTTTTGCATCTCTTTTAGTTGTATAGAGTCATGGTTCCATTGTCAGTACTGAACCGTGCCACCGCAAGTCATGGTTTAATCCTCACATTCTAATAGAAGTCGACAAATCCACAGAAACCACTTCTGATTGCAATGTATTAAAGGAAAAAGGAAAAAAAATGGGCAAAGTGCTGGGCTATCACGTGTGCGAAGGCGGAGATGTTATGCGAGTGTGCCTACTGGGAAAAGGTGTTTGCCTTCCCACTTTCTTTACCCCCTCCCTCCCCCTAGCTTTCACACCTTAGTCTGAGTAGACGGGCGTAAGGATGACAGCTTTATTTCCCAGGCTAAGCTACTTTGCAGAGGCTAGGAAGTAAATCACCTCAAAAAGTGTTTGTCTCTTTTTTTACATTTGATTGGGTATGAGCTTTGAGGTAATTTTTTTAGTTGTAGTACTGCAGCCCTGAAAAAATTACACTTAAGCTATTTTATGTGATACCAGAATGTGATGCCTAAATTACAGTTGCCTTGGTCTATAAGAGTAGGAATTTGGGAAGGAAAATAAGAGAAATGCAGTTGAATTGAGGAGGGGAATCAATTCACTACCACATTTTCGGTTGGGACGAACTACTTTGTCCCATTTTTCTATCCAAAGCAAACACTTCAGTTTAGTTGTGTTTCATTCAAAGAGAAAAATTTTCCTTTTGCACTTTTAATTTAAAAATGTCGAAATTTGGAGTGGCATTTAAACTACGACGGCGTAGAGTTTCCCCTGCCCCCAATCCACACTCGCCCCCGCAACCCCCCCTCGGCTGTGAGTCCAGCTGGGAGGAAACTTGCCTGCGCAATAATCGACCTTCAAAACAAAAGGAACGGAAGTGTTTCATCCTCCTTCCGTTGAAAATACCACTCTCAAGTCCATGAACTTTAGCTCTAACAATAAATTTACTTCCGATTAGTAGTAAAAGATTTTTGGTTAAAATCTCCCATGTTTTTATAAAAAATGGCCACTTTAATAAGAACAAAGGCTTTGCCCCCATCTCTTTCAAAGCATTCATTTTAGATTTATTATAAACAAAAGGATGTTCGGAAATTTTTCTTATTTTTTTGGGAGGAGGCGGGGAATGGATGCAAGCGTGTAAGCCAGAGCTCCTCCCTCCTCTGTCCCATCTAGTGAAGGATGTCTAAACCATCATTCAGGCTCGCATTTCGTCCACCATTTCCCTTTTTAAAGAGGAATGCACTAATTTCTCTTTTTTATGTACTAGTGGATAAGATCACGATGTGGGCACGATAATTCCATTCTTCGGTCTCATCAAGGACTTGTAGTTCTTACGTCTCCTATCCAGTTTTTGACATGTAGTGTTGTTGTATTTTGCGCCTTGAAAGGCATCCAGATGGAGCGTCTGACATTAACACTCTTGTCTGCTTGATGGGAACACATTGACATGGGCAGAATGCACTCCCTACCACACTCACACCTCCGATTAACGCCAACGCTGTCACACATTATAACTTGACAGATGTAAGTAACAGTCCCCACTTTTGTAAAAATCGTGTGAACGAGACAATTACTGCGATTTGGGAGGGCACTGCAAAGGTGGAAGATGAAAGCGACTTGAGGAGGTGGGTTCTCTGCATACCTTGCATTCCAGAGTAGTAAGGTGTTTACACTGCTGTAGGCCTAGGCAATTTGTGTTTCTCGGACACAATTACAAATGACCTTTTGTTGTCTCGCCGCTGGTTAACACTGGTAGAGTGATAACGTAGGCACTACTGCTAATGGTTTTTGCTGTTTTGCCTCAGGAATTGCCGAGACCCTTTTCCCTACTGTACTGTTAAGTGCCCTACAGAATGGACAGGTTTTTGTTCATTACTTTATATGGAATGGCGCACCCTTGAAGTTGATGGCACGCGCTGCGATTTGGAAAGCGTCACTTACTCTAGCCTTCGACACAGTAATGTTAAATGTTAATTGTCTGAGGTTAAATTTAAAAAAGGCATTTTTTTTCGTTTGTTTACCTCAGCTCCTCTTTTTTTCTTCAAAAGTAACTTTTCAATATCTCATTATAAAACAGGTTAATTAGTTGGAGGTGTGACATTGAAAATGGGATGTAATGGTGGTTGAGACAATTTTGGCGACCTAGTTACAAGGTATTATTTAATGCCTTGGTACTTTAAAACACAAGAAGCAGCATCTCAGACAATAGGAGAAATACAAAATAACGGTGTGTCCGACTGCGTGGGCAGTTCAGTAGCCGAAGGCCGTACCTCAGATCATACTAGTAGCCTCTAAATACTTCTATTTTTACTCACTACGATCGTCTATGCCTACTTCAAGAAGGACTAGGGGGGCGTTGTAGTGCACTCAATTCTTCAGTACCGTCCAATCGTCCATGCGGGTTCCATTTTAGCCGCTGGGGACATTAGCTGGGAATCATTTGTTCTCGTAATTAACAAAACCTTACCGCAGAGCCATGGATGATCACTTACATAGTAAAGGTGGGTATTTTGGTCTCCCAAAATGACATTCTCTGTCGTTCTGCAGTTCATCTAGCTGTAGAAGTCAACAATTGTGGAAGTTTTGCCGTAGGAATACATAATCTTTCCAAGGCATTTCACTCATCCTTTAAATGCCGGGATACATAACAAGGGCTATAGTGGTGTATCTAACATGGATATCAGGATTCTAACTAAAACACATAAATTAAAAATCAAAGTCATCTTAAAAGAAAGTAACTTCATACCATTTAAACAAGTGGTTCATTTTAACAAAAAAGGTAGTTGAGCTCTTCATAACTAATATGATTTGCACATCTCAGTAGAAAAATTGGATTGACGAGGAACCTACTGAATTAGTTAAATTACTTCCATGATTATCGATGATGATGTAGACTTCAACGGATCCTGAGACTTTGTAATGCCTGCTTGAAATGCAGCACGACTCCAACGTAGTGATGTGATTGTTTGATTAAATCTGCTTTCTAGTTATGCAGGCATTCAAGGCTCCGCCACAACTTCCGCTCGGAGACCGATAGCCACATCCCTTCCACACATCAGTAATAGATCTTCCACCCCAGTACCATGCCTCCTCACGGCTTCAGGAAGGACTCGGCGGGCTGTACTATTACCTTCTGTTGGAATCTTCAGCGTGAATGTTACGACCAGTAGGGAATCGGTGCAATAATGTAAACATAAATGCAAACAGTTTTCAATGAGTAAAATTTTTGTTAATATATATATATATATATAGAAGTGGTATTTTGTTCAGCAGTAAAGGTCTTTTGTTTAACCGGACAACAAATCATAGTTAAAAGTATATCCACGTAAAAAGTACTTTCACAGAGAGTAAACTTTTTGTATTACACAGTGATTTTCCCCATGCTTTACAAAAAGTGGCAAAAACTTTTTTCCACTATTAGTGAGTGCTAATCAGCTCGGCTTTTTTATCGAATGCCATGAAAATGAATTGGCTAATTCCACCTCATTATTGTTTGAGAGGGTAAAGCACAAATAGGAAATTGGCCTCAAGGTGTAGTGATTTGGTATTATTGAAGTGATTTTCTACTTTTTCCATTTGTTTCGTGTTGTCAACTAAATCAAAAGAGAAAACACAAAGATGAGATTTGGGATTTTAAGTGCGGTGATGTAGCATCCCAGCAGAGTTATTTGCCGCCGATCACGATGCAATAAACCCCCCGGATGACGGGCCACTTGACCCCACCTGTCATGAAACCAGCTACAGCAACCGAAATTCACACGTGTCCATCAGCACGGATGAGTTGAAGAGATAACTGTTTATAATGGTGAAAGCTCGTCTCAAACATTTTCAAGAGTTAAACAATTTTGATTCCCAGGTAAACAGTCCATAACAGTGAAAACAACTGTTTTCTTCGCAAGTTCCAATTAACGATTGGCTTAAACTCCTTCCCATTTAATAGCTTAAGTTATGATTAGCAGGAATTTTACAAGAGAGCATTTGTGTTTACATCACGACGGCTAGCACCGCGATGGTGGATCAAAGGCACCTCCAAAACCTGATGCATTACCAGTCTAGGAGGAAAACACATTTATTTTCAGGCTTGAACAAAGTGCTTCATTTTCTTCCCATGCCTGCGAAATGCATTTGTATGGCATCTTTAAACGCCCCGTACTCCCCAAAACTATGACATTACCGCGGCAATTTTTTTCCCTCCTCATTTTGACGGCCATATTTTGATAACCGATGATGGGGCAACTAGAAACGCTCTTTTTTTGCCAGCAAAAAGAAATGAAAACGTTTACAAATTATGCGGCGCAGAATCTGTGAATAAGGAATATCTTCCTTGTCCTGCCCTTTCACCTCCACTTATCCGTCCAGGAATTGCAAAGAATGTTTGGAAGAGAAAGTGAGAATTTTAGCAAGGCTCGAAATTTTATGGACGACTCGGTGCTTATCGCCTCCTCCTCCTCCTCCTCCACCTCCTCCTCCCTCGCCTCGGGGATCGATGACGTCTCCTCCTCAATCACGAATTTGGTCCAGTCTGTCCGCTTGTCACCTAAAATGGTTGATTTGGACAAACAAGTGTTATGATTATTCCCGATGAAATAGTTTTGACATCAAGACACTGAACTACTCCAATCTTTTGACAAACATCATATTTTGGGAGGAAATTTGCTTGTTTAAATAACTTGTTTTAACAGGGTTTGAGGGTCACTTCTTGACCACTTAACTTATCGTCGGTTTGCTTTTCTAGGTTAATCATTTCGGGGACGGTTTATTCGATTGAATCCTGCAAATGTCGTGTTTGGATGCAACATTAGCTACCCGACCTGAATTGAAGTGCATGAAGTACAAAGAAGATCAAAGCTTATCATACCTAATTACCAGCGGTTAGCGGCGAACAGATTTTAACACCTTCTCCTTTAGCACCTTTCCTACCAAAAATGTTGCGATAATCACTGCATGTGATATTTTTTTGCTTTGCATAAGCAAACAACCTCCCCTCCGTCCTAGGCAACACCTTAATACCCCTCTCCAAATATTTTTCCGCAACCAATATTCCTCTTAACAGGAGAAGATCTAGCGAATATTCATTTAAATCAAGAGATGAAAAGTATTAACGGGACCAAAGCGATTGGTAGCAATTCTCATCAAACCGTCTGTAAATCGAAACGCACTGAAACGCTCCACAATTTCGCATTAACAGGGAAGTCACCGCTTTGCTTTGTAGCCTCACTAAATCGGTGTTATTCCCTATTCAGGAGAATATTTTGAAGTGGTCAAGTGCTCTTCCAACGGAGCATTCAAACATCCACTGCATTCTTTTGAACCCGACCAATCCGTCTGTCACAACACCTAGCACAACCAGTTACCAGATGTCGAAGTCGCAATTATCACTCGACGTTGCCGATAATCCCACTAACAGAGCAAACAAGTCGAAGACTGCAATAAATGGGACCTAATCCCTCCTCCCACATAATTTTCCCACTATCAGTTGTCAAATTTCGATTACTCATTTCAATTGAAAGTGGACTCAAACATGCGTTGTACGGCGTAGAAAGTAGTGAGCATCAATGCGAGCATTTTAGGTGGAAACACGAGCATACCAACATTGTAAAAAGTGAATCATATTAACGCTGCCGAAGGGGAAGGTACTACTGATGCTGTCGGAAGAAGTGAATGATGTAGCCGTAGATGCGGGGGGAGGGAGGCAACGTCTAGACCCCAGGCGAAGTCAGGGAGCTTGTAGCCCGGCAAATTGACATCGCGTATTTGAGCACCCGGACCCCGCAAAAAGGACACAAAGCCCACGCAAATCATCACGTGACTGGAATGTGCGCAAGCACCCCACGCAAGAGCTGTGGCCATGTCGTTGGGATGTGCGCCAATCAAATAACAGCATCCACATCAGCAAAGCCGAAAGTTAGAAGGTGTACGACAACATTTAGCAAGTCCAGTAAACACTACAAACTAAGGGGAGGGAGGGCAAAGGAAAGCAGGAGGGGAGGGGGCCATCCTATGGCTTTGATCATCACTGCGATACTCGTCAATTAAGCACATAGTGAGGGCGATCCTCACAAAGTGCTACCTAACGTCGGGTGGTTAATTAAGAAGGTAGGGGGAAGGGATTCTAACAGCATTGTGGCCTAAACTTGGGGACAGTCAGCGCCGGCGACAATCCACCACCCTACCGTCTAGCGTATTTGCAGCTCCAGGCCATGGAGAACGCACATGATAGCACGCAAAGACAATGAGTCTTACGTCTAGGGGTGGGGGTAAGGGAGTGAAGGAGGGAGGTGAGTGAACCCATTACCTGTGCCTACAACGTAGTGATTCACTTAAAGTAAATCAGCCTGTCATATGCGGACTAGTGTGCGCAAAGTACTACCACCTCCTACTTAAATGCGGATAGTAGTAATGATGTAATCAAAATGAAGCGATGTTCACCAGAAACTTGCCACAAAGGGAGAAGAAGAGAAGCACCACCTTCAGCATCTCACTCGGAGAGAGAGAGAGCATATGGCACTGACAAGGATGTGGCGATTTCGACAAGCTCGCTCACACCGCGCAGGACGGTGCGTACATTCCAGCTTCACAGTTCACGCTGCCGTTGGAGTAAAGCAGAGGAGCGGAGAAGGGGTAGGGAAGCGGGTCGGTAGACGGAGAGATAAATAGCCAGGCAGGTAGGTCAATAAAAAACCCAGAATGAAGCACATCTCCTGACCTCTGCCTGCCTGCTCGCATGTCCACCTAGACCCCTACTAGCCAAGTAACCAAACAAATGCGCAGTCGAAAAGTAAATAAGTAAATCTATCTGTTTGCCAGCAAACGGAGATGCGGACGGGGTCG